AAAAATTAGCAAGTCAATTTGCTATTAGCAAATTCAATTTTGCACCGGGTGGGCCAAGTTCAGGTAGCCCACCCACTCCAACCAATACACTTCAAATGTATGTCAAAAATTAGCAAATAATTAGCAAGTAATAGCAATTTGGTTTTAAAAATTAGCAAGTCAATTTGCTATTAGCAAATTCAATTTTGCACCGGGTGGGCCAAGTTCAGGTAGCCCACCCACTTCAACCAATACACTTCAAATTTATGTAAAAAATTAGCAAATAATTAGCAAGTAATAGCAAGTTGGTTTTCAATATGCAAAAAATAGCTTGTTTTTAACTTATAATAAAAAATTGGTTCCCTGGTATATATATTTTAAACATCGTATTACAATAATTATGTTTACCTTTTATCTTTGACCAATGATATTATATTTTATCTGACATTTTTTTTTTGCATAGGTCATGGTTTTTCTTCCAAAAATCAATGATGTGTTGAATAATATAACATTTCTGTTATAGCCACTAGCTAAATAGAATGAGTAGCAACAGATTGTTTCAGACATTATAATATCATTATTTTTTTATTTACTCACTTGTACATGATTTTGAATACTATAATATTTATGAATATTTAATATTGAATAAATCTATACATTCAGGAATAATGTACACAAAAAGTATTATATTTGTAGTAGTGTCTCCAAAATGTATGAATATAATATAGGATAGAAAATTATCTATGCAACAGCGTACCTATATTTTAGATAATATAAACACAATAAAAGTTATTTGCTTCTAAACATTTAGCTTTTTGTTTTTTTTTTTTTTTTAATAGCTTATAAAAATAACTGGATAGTACTTTTAAAAAAAGAGCACGCTTTTGCACAGATAAAATTCTTCTTTACGTGTTGTGAAAATTTGGTAACGCAAAACAGTTTTTGCTATGTTGCACATTTGTAAGACTGAGACAACACATGTGGGTTTGACGTCCTCTTAAGAATAAAACCTAAATCCAAGTTCTTTGTTAAGTACCTATTTTTGGGAACTGTGCTAGTCACGTTGCTAATTAAATGTATATATCCTAACAATCACAATTTGACTATATAGGTATTCATTATTAGTTTTTACCTACATCTGTGAAGATACCCTCATCCCTCGCCCGCACCTCCACACCATTGATTTCAGTTCTATTACTTCATGAAAGTATTGGCAAAATAATAAGAGTTGTATTTAGACAATGCAACTGCATTATAAGTAACAACAAATAATATTATAAACAATTATTCATTTCGGACGTATCAATATTATAATATTGTTTTCCTACTGTCTCTTTGAGTTTTTCTATTTTTAAATTTTAATATAATATTATTCTCGCCGACCTTCCGATGGCTATATCGATAGCTATTCTGATAGCTATATCTATATCGACTGCATATTATTATTTTAGGGTATGATTAAAATGATTTATATTTAGTCTTGTTGTTGATCGTTGTTGATTTTATTAACGATTAAGTGAAAAAACACATTGTACAGATTATTCATTCGTTATACGATTTCCAACATTTGATGTTTGATGCGGTTACGTCTGCTTATAATATTTATTTATTTCACTGTAATTTGCTTTTCGTATTAAGAAAATGGACACAAAAAAGGTAAGTTATCATTGATTGTTTATAAATTATATACTTTTAAGTTTTAATAGACCTAGCTGAAGTCATAAAATAATAAATAAATTATCATAAGGTTTGACTATAATCTGACAATTAATAATACAATGTAAGATGTTACATAGATTTACAGCTGTAAATTAACCATAGGTAGGTTCTAAATATTTTATTCATACATGATAATATTATAATATATATTTTCGCATGCCTGTTTATTTATATATATTTTATAGTTTTTTCAGTTTTTGTATACATTTTAAGTATAAGTAAAGTCATAGAGTTTAATCATTGGTGATAGAAACAGCAAGATTTTATTCGAAAGTTTTGCTATCAGTTTTTTTTTCTAATTTGAAAATGAATTTACATACATGAACACAGACCTCCTTCAACATTATCCACATTTTTTCGAACAAATTTAAAAAAATTGTAAATCTATTGTATATAATTACTGTAAATTCAATCGATTACTAAAGTCAGGAGGACTATGTGAATTTGCACTTACCCCTGGAGATTTCATTTTTTTTATTTCTAAGTTTGTTAGTTTGTATGTATAATTTACAAATTTTGAGATTGAATTTATAATAATTTATAATAGGTGTAATTCTTAACAATTTGTCCTGCAAAATTTTGACTTGCAAATTGCAGGAGTGGACTTGCGAATTCTTGCTAATTACTTGCAAAATTATGGCACTTTGCAAAACATTTTTTGAAAAAGTGTAAGGGCCAACTTCACAGGCGTACTTTGTAGGTACCTATTATAAATTAACGGCTCAAAGCCTGCACGGCGCGTGGCGCAAGCACACTGTGTTAGTGTGTTACTTATGAACTCTGAAGTGATATTCAACGATATCGAATTTATAACTATTATAGCTACTAGTCTTTACAAATAAAATTCCTAGTTCAGACGGTACTGATTATGTAGTATTAGTATGTATGTATCACACCTAAAAACAGTAACCTTCTAAAACCACCCAACTTTGAGCAGCAATAACTCGTCAACAAGTTAACAATTCATGAAAAAAATTGCTTTATTAATTTATGCAATTATTAATATAAGTTGTCATTTGAAAATCAAAAGTGGATGGTGGTTTACCTAATTAATATAAGGGTGAAAAATATTTAAAATGTATACAAATKTAGAAAAGCATGAGACTAAAATTATTTTTAAAAAAATTTGAAAAATATCAATACTTTTTGAAATAATGAGTGTTCAACGATAAAAAAATCACCCTGGATTCTTTAATGAATCTTTGTTTATTAGTTTAAAATACTTTTATTAGATTTATAATTTAGGTTGTATTGAATTTTTAGAATTTTTTTACATTTTTTCTGGCCTCTGAAATTTTAGTCGTAATATTTAAACTAGTTGTCATGATTTTGTTTTTTAATGGTTTACTCAATTTTAATTTTGAATATCTCTTTTACGTTATTTAAGTTCTGTTTAAGTTTTTTTTATTTCTTTATTAAGTTTCTAAATCTTTTAAGTTCGGTAAATATTTTTTTTAACGTTTTTGGGTGTTTTAAGTAGTTTTTAAACATCTTTTTTTGTTATTTAAGTTAGTTTGTTTGCTGCTGATGATTTGAAATGCTGGGCATCTGCGCCTGGTGGTGGTATTGATACGTTAATTATTTGCTTGATCTCGTGGATTTTAGCGAATTAACGTATGCAGGGAGGGCTACGAGCAAGCTACCACCTTCCTCCCCATCAGCAGCAAACGGCAGTAATGCCAACTGTAAACGGTCCTTTTAAGGACCACTTGACGCTTAATKTTGGTGAAGATCTTAGGATCTGTCACTTCAACATTGAAGGAATTTCTAAAGCGAAGTGTGAAGTTCTAACTAAAATCATGAACAAGGAAAGAATAGATGTAATTGCCTTGCAAGAAACACACACGAAAGATGACAATGACCTTCAAAAAAGAGGCTACATCGCAGGATATATAGTAATTGGAGCGATACACCACAAGCAGTATGGCATAGCTACGTATGTAAAAGAAAACATCGATGATACGATGGTAGTTCACAAAGCCAACTCAGGAAACACCCAAGTACTATCCACGAAAATAGGTAGTATTACTGTAACGAATGTGTATAMACCTCCAAACAACAAATGGGAGRGTAATCCAATGAAAACCTTTGAACACCCAGCTATTTATGTGGGTGACTTTAACAGCCATAATATGGCGTGGGGCTAYGAGGAAAATGATGAAAACGGAGATATATTATATGAATGGCTAGACACAATGAATATGGAACTTGTCTTCAGCATAAAGGATAAGGGAACTTTTCGATCAGCAAGATGGCTGAAGGAGTACACGCCAGATCTAAGCATAATATYGAAACCTCCAAATGATAGTAAACAACTGGCATCGCGCCGTATTCTCTGTGATTTTCCTCACAGCCAGCATCGACCGGTGGTCTTAGAATATGGCCTAAAAATACYAATAATTAGATCAATCCCAAAACCAAGATGGAATTTCAGGAAAGCCAACTGGACTGAATTCGCCAAGGAACTAGATCACCTAATACAATGGATCCCAGCAAAGGCAGAATGTTATGATCGATTCGTGGGAGCGATAAAAATGATAGCGAAAAAGCATATTCCTAGGGGCTTCAGGAAGCAGTTCATCCCAGGCTGGGACGAAACGTGTAATGAACTGTATGCGGAGTTTCRAAGGTCAAAAKATAATAACATAGYGGATGAAYTAATTAACAACTTAAACTCAATAAGAAAACAAAGATGGCATGAAAAGACAGAAAATCTAGACTTTACCCACTCCAGCCATAAAGCATGGAGCCTAATGAAAAAATTAGGCACCTCAAATAGTACCACGAAAGGTCAGCATACATTAAGACCAAATAGTGTAGCAACCAGATTAAAAAGCGTTGGAAAACTTCCAGTAGACAAAGAGCATAAACGATTAATAAAAACAGAATTAAGAAATCACAGGAAAWTGCTAATGCCGCATCCAACACTGGACGCTGCTTTTACACAAAATGATGWATGCAACGCAATAAAGAAAACCAAAATAAACAAAGCTGCGGGCTTCGATGGGATATATTCTGAGTTTTTTAAATTCGCAGGACCGAGAACTTATACCTGGCTAACTGTGTTTTATAATGATATTATAGATACTGCAAAACTACTAAAACAATTTAAAAGAGCGAAAGTGATTGCGTTACTAAAACCCGGGAAAGATGGCCACGAAGCCGCAGATTACCGACCTATATCATTACTGAGCGTTACGTATAAGATTTTAGAAAGAATTTTTTTAGAACGTATACAACCATATATCGAAGACGTGATACCAATAGAACAGGCTGGATTTAGGGAATACCGAGGATGTGAGGAGCAAGTACTAGCGCTCACAACTCTGATAGAATCTGGATTCCAAAGGAAATTTAAAACTAGTGTAGCGTTCATTGATTTGTCAGCGGCGTATGACACAGTATGGAGAGACGGTCTTTTGAATAAGTTCGCCAAGGTCATCCCATGCAAGAAATTATTCACACTCCTAGATAGAATGCTCACGAACCGCYGCTTCAAAGTATTTTTGGGTAATAAGGAAAGCAATTGGCGCACAGTACTCAATGGTCTTCCCCAGGGTTCGGTACTTGCTCCGACTCTATTTAACTTATATATATATGAACTACCTGTTACGAAAGGGCTTAAGTTCCAATACGCGGACGATATTGCTATTGCTTATCAAAGCACTGATTTAGAGGATGGCGGGAAAGCACTTACTGAAKACCTCAACACTATGAACAAATACTTCTCCAAATGGCGTTTAAAACCAAACCCTACCAAGACTGAAGTATGTGCTTTTCACCTAAACAACAAAAAGGCTAGAGAAGAGTTGAAAGTGACATTCCAAGGAGTACAATTAAAGCACAACTTCACGCCGAAATACTTGGGAATAACATTGGATCGTACGCTCACATTTAAAGAACATCTTGTCAAAACTGGAAAGAAAGTACGATCCAGAGTCAATTTAATTCAAAAACTCGCCGGTACAGGATGGGGTGCTAGCGCTAAAACATTACGRACAGCAGCRCTGGCGCTAACATACAGTGCAGCTGAATACGGTGCCCAAGTGTGGTGTAWTAGTGCACACGTGAAAAAARTTGACACACAATTGTATAGTGTAATGAGAGTRATTAGCGGCACGGTGAAGTCCACTCAGTTACAATGGCTACCAGTTCTAACCAATATAGCTCCGCCAGACCTACGAAGAAAGCATAAACTTATTAATACTATCAGGAAAGCCGAAGATAGGAGGAACTCACTGCTAGCCGAAAGATTAGAAGAGATACCAGCACTTAGACTAAAGTCAAGGAAACCGCCTTGGAAGACAGCTAAAKACCTAATAAGATCAGGATTTGAAACCAAAAAGTGCTGGTACGATGAATGGACCAACTCTACTTTACCAATCAAAAACAAAAATCTGGTGATGGACCCCAACCAAGGAGTTATGGGTATGGAACTGCCTAGACATGAATGGTCTGTACTAAATCGTCTTCGAACAGGTCATGGCCGTTGCGCTGATATGATGTTTAAATGGCGACTCCAAGACAGCCCAACATGCGATTGCGGCAACGATAGACAAACCATAAATCACATAATAAAAGAATGCCAGATAAGGAAATTCAACCAGGGCATCGAAGGAATCCACGCGATAACACCRGAAGCAGTAAAATGGATAAGGGAACTGGACGTACACCTGTAACCTGTAAACTGTAACGCATTGTTATGTCATGCCATATTATATTATGTCATATTGTATTATATATTTATAAAACCTTAACCTTTCTAATCTAAATTTAGTTAAATTTTGCTTTATGTTTATATTTTATTTATTATTTTATTTTATTTTATTGTTTAATTTTGCTGTAAATGATTTGTTAAGCCATACGAATAAATAAATAAGTTAGTTTGTATTTTAAAACCTTTTTTTACATTTTTTAGGATCCTGATTCTTCGATTCTTATACTTAATTCTCACCGTTGTTTCGTGTTTATCAATGATTTCCACTTTATAAGCTTTCACTAGTTTTTAAACATTTTTTTACGTTTTTCTTAACGAATGTTGTTTCATAGTATTTTTTTAATTTTTAGATAAATATTAAAAAAGCAATTATTTTTTATTTATTAAAATTAGTTTTTAATCAAATTTTTTTTCCATCTAAAATTTATTTATTAGACAAATATTTTTTAAATCAACTTAAATTTTTTTGTTCAATTAATATTTTGATTTTGATTTTGATTTTTTAGTTAAATTATATTCATAGTCACAATTTTTTTTTATAAGCATTCAAAGTTTGAATTTTGACAACATATGTAAAAATCACAAAAATTCACAAATTATTTTAAGCTAGAAATTCATAAAAAAATTGTTTTTTAAATCTAAGATTTGAAAATTTAATACAAGATTCCTCACAAGTTTGTCAATCTTTATTACTAATAAAAAGTCCACCTGAAATTCAAATTAAATTTTTATGAGCATTTGAAATTTAAATATTTACAACATTAGATTTTCACTGGATTTCACATTATTTAGCGATTTTCTTATTTTGGTGTAACTCTAAAAGTCTAAAACAAATGACCGCATATACTTGAAATTTTCACTGAATGTTTATATAGACATTTTCTATATTTGATAAAATTTTCAAAATATTTAGATTTTTTTGAGCTGTTTACTGACATTTTAATTTTTCAACTTTTTTAGTTTTGTTTTCTATAAATATCGATAAAAATTTATTTGTTCGGTAGAAAAGCTTGAAAATTTAATACAAGGCTTCTTACACATTTTAACAATTGCAGTTGAAAAATAAAATAAATTCATAGTCACATTTTTTTTTTCAAGCATTAAAAGTTTGAATTTTGACAACATATGTAAAAATCACTAAAATCACGAAAATTCGCAAATTATTTTTAACAGATAATGAAAGTTCAAATTCATCAGTGTCTAATTCTTCGATTAATATGAAAAAAAAAGTTAAATGTTTCAGTATTGACATTTCTTACCGTAAATTTATTAAAATGAAACCAACTACCGTAATGTATGGGGTAAAAAATAAAAAAAAGGCTTATACTACATTAAAGCCAGGTGTCTGGACAAACATAATAAATGATGAGTTTCTGAAGAATTATAAAATGCCATGTACATATATATATATATATAAAAGATGTAGAGTATATAATTCTTCTACATCTGAATATTTTCTTACATTTCAAGGAAAATGTAAGGATTGCGGCGTATATTTACATGGTTGGTCCGATCATAAACCACAAGAAGGTTTTCCGTTAAAGTTATTCATAGAAACTGAGGATACAAGGGGTTCTTGGGAAGAGCATTATTCGAAAAGACCTCTGAACGGATATAAAAGATCTAAAGTCGGAAAATCGTTATCAAAAGATACTGCCGAAAATTGGCGAAGACAGGCCGTTTCATCTATTGAATTTGGTGACCATTTACCCCCCAATATTTATAACAACTCTGTGCTATGGAAGTGTAAGCAGCAGTTTGTAGACAGTTCTTTAGGAATCACTGAAAAGTGTCCAATAAAATCACTTATTGAATTTAAGTATGGGAAATATTCAGGCTCTATCCATACGATATCTGCATCCAAACTATTTGTTCATTATTGGACGCCTTCGCAACTTGTTGTATATAAACACGTTCAAAAATCGTACTGCCGTCTATCGATTGACGCTACAGGAGGTTTGATATGATTTTATATGAAGCAGTGTTAAATACAAATGGTTACCAAGTTCCAGTCACACAAATGGTAAGTGAGCAACATGATACGCTTACCATTTTTTACTGGTTAGCACAATGGCTCAAAGACGGTGTTCCCATACCCCAAGAAACTACATGTGACTATTCTAAAGCATTGCTGGGTGCAATCTCTAGAGCATTTTGTAGTGGAATTACATTATACGATTATGTAGAGAAATGCTTCAACATTTTGAATTCCAAATCTAATAACTTACCTAATTGTTACATCCGAATTGACATAGCTCATTTAGTGAAATTAGTTTGTCGCTGGAAATGTTTAACAGGCACAAAGAATTACCGTTTAAAAGAATTTTATGTTAGATGTGTCATGTTGTTAATTCGAGCAAATTGCTTAGAAGAATTTGAAAATGTTTTATTAGATATTTTAACAGTATCTATAAGCCAAACAGAGGGTGAACAAATGGGAAGTACAAACAAATGTCCAGCTGAGGAAGCCAGAATACGGTTACTGAACAATATAAGAGGCACCAGAATAAATGAAAATTACATGTGAAGTTATATTTTAGATAACAATAGAATATTTTCTGATAATTCTGATGAGGAAATTGATGTTATGAATAAAAGAGAACGAGAAAATTCAAAAATTTATGCGTTTTTGAATGGAATAAAATCCAAGAGTATTTCTTACTCATCAGTGGAAGGTGATAGAATCAGTCCTTATTATTTACCTGAATTCACAAAACAATTACTAAGACTATGCAAAGAATTTCCATTATGKTCGAATATAATGTGTTMAATTTTTAAATCCCCTTACATAAATGCTTCATCTGCATCAGTTGAAGGGGATTTTGCCTTGCTTAAAAGTAATATATTAAAACACAAGACAACGCCCATGGCAGTTGATCGTTWCATTGTCACTCATCTTATGAGTATTGACGGTTCGATGAAAATTGCGCGTAGTCGTCAACTCGAAGAATATAATACCAATAATAATAATGAAGTAAAGGATGGCAACAAGAGCAATGCACTTAAAGGATCTAGTAAAACAGTTACGCCAATAATGTCTCCGGCATGTTCTTTCAGAAGCTTAACTGCCATAGATTTAATGGACTTAGAGTACAATTATCATGAAACAAATCATCAAGATTCCCATGACAATATGGACGTAATTAAAGAATCTGATCAACCGGTAACACCAATAATGTCACCAGCATGTTCATTTGGAAGTCCCACTGATGAAGAATTAATGCAAATTGAGTGTAATGATAAAATAATTCAACAAAATTTCAATGATAGTAAGAACATAAATATATGCAACGAAATTGAAAAATATGAATGTAATCAAGAAGACTTAACACCGATTCTATCACCAACATGCTCATTTGGAAGTACATTAACAGTCGATGAAGAAGAACGTTGGGGAGGCTATAAAACAATTATAACTAGGCCATTAAAAAGTTCTGGAAATAATGCGATCAATATGGAAAAAAATAAAAAAAGGCAAACAAAATTTATAGATACATGTCCTGATATTGATCGTATACTAAATAGATCCCGAATGCGATCTCATTTAACATCGGTCATTTTAAATGGGAATATAGCTCCATTGTGTAAATACAACAAAAATACATATGTTGTTAGTAATACATGTCCATTTGATTCGGTCATAGTAGCTATCGCCGTTGCATATATAGATCATGAAAAATATGCCTCATTTGTAAATGAGACAAATAATGAATTTTTAAATCTCGCAAAAGAACTTGGCCTTCATGGTTCATCAAAATCGACTTACAACCAAAGATTAAAATTACTTCTTCCATATTTTGATATTTCCACGTGCATTCCCACAGTAAACACTCTCAATGTTGAATGCAATGTCATTAAAGTAATTCAAGAGTATGTAAAAGACAATCCAAGTTCCACTCATATAACGATGTGTTCCAATACTAAGTGCTCCGGGAACAACACAACAAGAAACTCAGCTACAATAATATTAAATAACATACAACAAATTCATACTTAAGGTTTTTCCTATCTTCAAAACCTACTACAAACATATTTGCGATCAAAGACCATGCCTTGTTATCAAAATAAATGCAACGGGATATATTAAGCAGAATTATAAATCTGGGAAATCACATTTTCATTGAGGCTGATACACTATCAATGGAATCGACAACATATTCATGTCTTTTAAGTGACATTCCCGTAAAAATGGAATTAAACCAAAAAAGGTAAGCATAAACAAAATATATAATATATAACAGCGGTCCCTACTACGCGGCCCGCATGCGGCCCTTTAGTAACTTTAGTGCGGCGCGCACTAAAATTAAATTGTTCATTCTTATTATCTAATTTTGATTAAAAAAATATCAATATTTATCTAATAATTTAATAAATATATAAATTTAATATACTAGTATAATAATATGAATAATTTGTATTTTGTATAAAATAAACTACAAATTTAAATTTAAAATTATAATTATAAATCCAAGAAAAACATTTATGTCATTCATTCTTTCATACATTTCATACTTTTTCCTACAATACCTATATATATATATATATATAATTTTTATGTCTTTATTATTAAAAAAAATAATTAAAAATGTATGCGGCCCGCAAATAATTTTCAAAAATTACATTTGGCCCATTCCACAATCCTAGTGAGGACCGCTGATCTTTAACATATTATATAAAATTTAGATATCAACACCAATGGTAAATTATATAACAAACTAAATTTTATCAATATTGTATTATGAGTGATTAAATAAAAGTGTAAATCCTATTTTTTAATTTATTATTAACAATTATTTTTTAGATACACATTGGTTGCAGTTATTCACTATGTGTCATTTCACTATTTGACTTATATTAGACGAGCATATGGAAAATGGGAAAGGCATAATGACTTGGAACAGAAAATAAAAAAAATCAAGAGCATAGAAAAAACTAAAGTTAATCCTCATTTACTTTTCTATA